GCTATTTTTCTGCAATTACTAATGTTTTGATGTATATGTTCAGTTATACATCTGTTTTTCTTACAAGGTAGTTGGTGTCAAGAAGCAGCCGATGCAGAGATGTGCAACCTCAGAGCAAAAATGTCTATTGCTGACGACTTTCAGAACAAAGAGAGATTAACTGTTAGGGATTGGAGTTAACTTGCATAATCTACTTCATTTCCAGGCAGAAAAGGTTAAAAGGAGGACTGACGAGGTTTAGGAACTATCCGTAGTTCAGTGAAGCTTTAAATCAAGTTAACTGCTCTCATGGCCCTTGGGGGGATTTGCATAATTTCCATAACGTGCAGCATGTTTTTTGCCTCCTGATAGGAGCCATCAGTTATGTAAGCAAATTGGTTGCATAATTATGCAGATGGGAAATGAAATTTAATTTATTCAACAGAAAAGTGTGCTGTTCCGTTTCACAAGGGATTTCTTTCAATTCAGTGAGGAATAAACTAAACTGGGAGAGGTAATCAGCAGATGACACTGCCAGATACCAGCTCCATTGCACAGGGTACCCATTTTCACAGAGCCAGAGCACCACGCCCCCCGAGCACAGGAACGGATTCCTACTTTTTAGCTAAAGGTCTCAATGCTTACTACTTAGAAGTATCACCACAATATTCCATGGGAGCAGTAGTGTGGCTTTATCTGGTCTCGTTATTCCCCGTCAGTTCCCAGGATACATCCCACTGTCTCAACAAGAGTAGTACAGACATTTCCAAATGGAAAGCTTGTTTTATACCAGATAAAATTAACATCTGAAAAAGTCTGTATTTTGACTGCCTCTTGTCCCCTAACAGAAGGGTAATTTTAAGCATCACGATAAAGTTGCTACTGGTGGCAACTGAGACATTTTCTCCTTGCTCCTTTGTTTCTGTTCTGGTCCTCAAACTGCAGATGGTCAAAAAGTGGCATCAGTTTCTCCAGTCTCATCACATGCATTGGCATGGAAGCTCTGAGGCCAATGACGTCAGCATTAATATTTTATACTAGTCATTTTAGAAAAGAGTTATGCAGAAGAGGTTAAGACTGAAAAATGTAGACCTGGGATTTGCAAAAAAAAAAAACCCCAAAAACCTGCAAAGATGCAAGATGTATCTGGAGAACGTTAAAGCACAAAAATGTGAACTAGTAATGGCTCTTAGCGTGGCCATATTTTACTAAGCTGAGGAGTATGACATTAAGATTTTAGTAATTAAAAGTTTGATTACTACACTGGGGACATTTGATTTTACTATTTCTCCTCATGTGAAACTCTCACTAGCATCCATTAGAATTCTTCAGTGAATCGAGCACAGCCTATGGGCCTCGCTGTAGCCGCCACTCGGGCCTGCAGATACAACTGGAAGCTGGCCATGTCCACAGCTGGGAATTTCAGCCCAATTTATTCATGAGCATTTGCTACATTATGTGCTATGGTGTGGTGAAAAACTGCATGATCTGACTGATTTCACACATTCTTAACCTCCTCACGCAGCATATATCATATTCTACGTTCTTGTAGTGGTTACGAGATATTAAACTCCCCACCTCTGCTTTGCCACTTGCCTATCCTCCTGCACACCTAAGAATATTAATTACAGGGATCTGGACGGAACTGAATAATGACAATACTGACTCACAGATATTTTGGATAATTCATATAAAGAATAAAAAATGTTTATTAACATCTTAACAACTCCAAAATGATCCCTCCAATTGCTTGACATACTTTATAAAACATCATAAAACTATCAAGCTTCTATTTCCAGCTTTTCACCTCTGTTCCTGATGTGAGTTAAACGCTCAAAACTATCAAAGCTTTGAAATAAAATTGCTATAAGTCTTCCAAACAACATTATTCTGTTTTAGTTACAAGAAACTGTCCATCCCGAACAAAAGTAATGTTTCCAAGAGCATACCCTGTAATGAGTAAAAATTGAAGAGAGATTTTTCACAAAGGGAATTTCTCATGCATCTAACAACATATTGAAGAAGCACAGCATTGTCTAGACCTAGTTACTGAGAGCAGCACAGGAAAGGGTTTTTTTCATGTTTTTCTGTCTCTCTCTGCATACGTTTTATTTCCTGTATGAAAAATTAAATATATCAAACGAGTTGCTTAATCTCAAACATAAAAGTTCTTTCAACTACTAAGAAATAATAACTTGTATCTAAGGAAAAGCAAAAATATGGATATTGTGTACTGAGTGGCTGGCTCTGCAAAACTGCATTGTCTCTGTTGTACTTAATGTTATTCTTCAGAACATTTTTTCAACTTTCCAGACTCATTTCCACTCCACATTGGAGTTTTGTCCTGTTTAGCACATGGAATTTCTGTCACCAAAATGGTAATGTGAATGTTGCTCAAAGAATCCTTTCTGATGCTTTGGTACAGATCACAGTGACCAGATTTATATGGTATTTCAAGGGGACCCAGACAGTAGCAAAAAGTGAAATACAGGACTTGAGAGTAAAGATGTTTAAATTGCCTACTGGCTTATCACAGTGAGAGGAAGAAACACTATATTGACAGAAACAACTGGATCCTGATACACCAGTAATAACAAAACTTCTGAGCAATGATGTGGGGAGGTTGCTTTGCTTGTTAATGTAAAACATAACCGAGATTGCACCCTATCAGCTGAAGATGATACTCAGGAGATGGAGCCAAAACATTGCACAAATTTTACATAGTTCCAAGTTAAGCTAGAAGGTCAATGATTAACCTCTGTCTGAAAAATAAAGCAACATTTCCATTTCTTTTCTAGGGATGATCTAAGTGAAAATTCAAGGTTGCTTATAATGGAAAAAATAATGCTGTCTCTAGAACATGCCAAGGTTTGAAGCCATACAGATTACTAAGAGCATTTTGTCATTCTGCGTCTCTCAAACACAGTATTAGCCACATCTGGTACTGCTTACAGAAACGTGGAATTTAGCTAAGGTCCAGATAGCCTCTGTCTAATTCCGAGGAAGATTAAACTACAAAGGAACTCACAAAACGTAATTAGCAAAAATGACTTAGTTTCTCACTGCCAGTTTTAGTTTGTTGAAACCTTCCAAAATTGCTCTTGCCACTAATGCTGGAGTGGCTGGAGAAACATCAGTTTAGATCCCTCATCTGAAACCTGATCACATCTTACCCAGTTTTTCAGCTACTGGATTCGACCAGGTGGATAGCCTTAGAAATGGCAGAGCCATCTTTGTGGATACTAAGTGGTGGAACCCAAAGCCTGTTTGAAGGAGTGCCAACTGTTCTTCAAGAGAAATTCTGAGGTAAGGGGCTTTTAAAGAAACGCCTTCTGATTGTTAGTACTGAATCTACCATTTTTTAGAAGGAAAGGCGATGAGATACCTACAGAAGAATGATACCCTGTGAAGACAGAAGAGGCTCTAGCCCTGCATTTTTTGGTACAGGTGGCACAGGAGGAAGGCAGTGATGTTGGCAGTCATTAGATTCACTCCTCTCTCTTCCAGTAGCAACTCCCAGACAGACTGGATGAGGAGTGCTATCGAAAAGGTCAGGACCTGACCCTACAGAGGATCAGGAATCTAGCGACTGTTGATCAGATTAATGACATCGGATTAATGGCATGAACTTCAAGACTAGAGTGGCAACCCCCCCTGCCCCTAAACAAAAAAACACCTGCACCCCTCCAAACCCCTCCACAACCATCCAGCGCTAAGATCATGATGGCTTTCATAATTCAGAGGCATAAAGGACACCTGCAATAATGCTGCTGGAACCAGGAAGAGACTCATGCCACTCCAAAGAAGGGAAAGATTTTTCAAACATTGAGGGTTTACGCCACCGTCCTGATCTCACTTATGAGAACAGCCTTAAAAAACCCCATGCACTTCTACACCCAAGAGAGCAGAAATTTTCAGCACAAAAAGCTCTAAAGTGGATGGACAGCAGGACCAGAAGAGCTGTCATTACTGGCATGTTTCTGAAGGTTGGTACTGGAGATCTAAACTAACACTACAGAAGCGGGGAGCTCAGGCAAGTATCAGCTTTGACAGAGGTCCCACTGACTTGCCATGAGAGTTCTGATAATGAAATGCTTGGTCGTTCTTACTCAAGGTGCAGATCAGTAGATGAAGTGTGACTTGAGCAATTCATGTTCTGGATCTGATTCAGGACTTGCAGCTGGAAAAAAGAATTTCTGAAGAACCAGGAATGCTAGAACCAGCTTGCTAGAAGCCTCCATCTCATCGTGCAGCTGGCAGAAACTAAAAAATGGGCAAAACCACTTCCCTCTAAGAGCATAATGAAGGGAGAAAGCAAGTTTTCCTTTTCAGTGAAAGCATACATATACACAAATGTCAAGCCATATACAAGTTATTATCAAGACACAACTAAACCTTCAGCTGTGAGCGACTTTGTGTCAACTCTCTCAGTTCTGTAAAGGAAGGTATCCTAAGTTAGGCATGTCTCAAGTGATTTTGAAGTTATTTTATTCTCAGTGCTTTTTACTGGGTTTTTGGAGTAAGGAAATTAAGATCTAAAGGGCACACAGATTGGACAGTATCTTCAGAAGACACCGTGAAGAAGACAAAAAGAAATGTATTATTTCTACAGGCAATGAAGCAATGTGGAAACCGTCTCACTCAGGAACAGTAGATACACTCAATCAATGCACTTACAAACTATCACCTGCTGGGAGAAGAGTAACAGTGGTAGATTTTCTGTAAAAAAGGAGAACATAAGTTTTGAGGCTGCAGCTTCCTCATTATATAACGATGCCCTTACAAAACAGCTATGCAAGGCAGTGTGACTATATAGTTAGGAAAAAACTACCCCTTCTGTGCTACTATCTGCATTATCATCAACATTAAGTGTTTAAAAAACCAACTTGAGTTTGAAGCCTTGCCGTAAATCGGTACGGCACAGTGTGAACACAGCGGGAACTGCCTTTATTAATTTGTATTATTTTCAACAATGATTGCTTTAACCATTAAAACCCAAAAGACTCTTTACTAATTAATGACTACTGAAACAGCCAGACCTTCCCAGCCCACTTCATATTCTCCTGAAGCCATTTTAGAGCGGATGTAAGCTCCAAGCTGTAAACTTCTTCCATATTGACATTCATGGTCATATGCTTAAGAAAAAGCTTTGGATCAGATACACGAGCAGCCAGGATCAATCTCTTCACTGCCGCTTGATAGTCACTGTTATTCTGAACTGTCTGATCTTCACATCTGTAAGTGAATTTTCACAAATACAAAATTAGGTACCATACGGTCCCTGTGTCACTTGTCTGATGCTTTATACTGGCAATGAGATTACAAAAACATGAAAGCACTGCTTGTGTTCACTTCGCTTAAAATAGATTATGTTAATTTCTAGACAAATTTTAGCTCATTATTCTGAAGAATTAAAAAGTTCAAAAAAGATAACTTTTTAACATATTTTACATTAATAAAAAGTAGTAAGACTTAATGCCAGTGCAAAGTAGGTTTGCAACATTCAGAGCACGTTTAATGAAGAAATGCTTGACTCTGGGCTGGAAAATTCAGTAAAAGAACGTAAAGCATTTTATGAACTGGATACATCAAGAATTCATGTACATGCTTGAATCCAAAAGGATTACTCATATTTGGCATGTAATCACTTTTAGAATAAGGATGTGCCTAAGTGACATGCCTACGTTTTTGCAAGAGCAGAACTTTCTCTTTAAGCAAACAAGCAGAGGTACAACAGCATACACATGAAAACAAGAGAGAGAAAACTTCTCATTTATCAAAAGAACAAAATTAAGAGATGTATTCCTTGGAAGCATAGAGGGGAAGGAAAACTGAGTACTCGAGTTTGAGATGCCCCTGTTCATCCTTCTTAACAAATGTAGCTTTTCTATGCGGTTTCACATTTTGATGCTGAGCCAATCAATCTCAGAGAAAATGGGGTCTTGAAAAATAAATTATAGGTATAATCGAGTGACAGTGGTTGGTGGTTTATGGACAAAAGGAAAAAGCAATAAACCACATTTTTATCTAAAGGTATTAAGTCTCACAGGAAGGAGAAAAACAAATTTAATATTGAGATATCCTCTGCAATCAAGTTAAATGGCTTAATGCAGTTCCCAAAAAACAGGGAAGAAATGTTAAGAGTTGCTTTTCAAAGAGAGTAACACTTTGTCTGTGCCCTTCTACCCCACTGCTTAACCACAACACACAATATCCTGGTTTTGAAAATACAGTACACTAGTAGTGCAGTAGACACATTCAGTTAGGGAACACGGGCCCATATCGCTCTGGAACAATTACTTTTCTGCCACATGCATGTAAAAATAACAACAGTAAAAATCCCCAAACATTTACTGCTCTATAACCAGTTTAGAAACAACGATTAAAACCAAGCATTCTCTTTCCCAGCCAATGGAAAATAAAATCTCTCATGAATTACATGATTACACAGATAAATACAATCAAAGTGGTACATATGTGACAACAAACCTTTTCAGTATTATTTGAAGAGTCTGACTAGTAGTCATTAGACTTTGAATATCACTGGCATTTGAAACAAGAAATATTTCAATGGCCAACAGCATCTCAACCTCAGACAGGTAAGACGGAATCATCAAAAGTTTGTGACATAAATTTCCCTGCAGTAGTGGGTAGCAACCCAACGATAAAGCGCCTGAGAGTAAATGCAGAAACGTAAAGAATTAGGATTACCAATACTGAACATAGATCTGTTTTCTTCGGTATGTGGCTAAGAATGTCAAAAGAAATAACCCAAACTTTTAATGGATGTTACTATTTAACCTGTGAAATGGCCTGATTTGAGAACAGTAGTATTCACTCATAACATTCACTGTTGTAAAATGTTATTTTTATCAACGAACATTATCAGCGGTGATTAAAAAGCTCTGTCAGAAATCCAGGGACACCAAGTGCATAACAACACAAGTACAATTTAGGACAGGTCAGACAGCAGCTTTATTAACTATGATCACAGTGAGAGGACATTTGAACAGCCATCTCCCCCTCTGCTCTCTTGTCCTCTGCCAAGTGATCCCAGAGACCCAATCTAGATAGCATTCCAGGAAAAAAAAAAAAAGGGCAAGGAAAACCACTCATTTCAATTATAACAAGGCCAAGTATCCATCCCAGGAGGGATGGACTCCTTAAGTAGGTCACTAACCACCACAATTCTAAGACGGAATCAAACAGTAAATAACGTGACAATATGGAGAGATGGCTTTTGGTGGACGCTATCAGAGTGGCACACCCAGTATTATCGCAGCTCCGAAGTGGGGAGTTGAAAACAAACAGAGACTGTTAGTTTTTAGTTGAAAGGATTCTTCTTTTAGTTAGGATAAACTTCTTGGCCAGACCTCTCAAATCTTGAATATTAATAATTTTACCATCACTGCTCTAAACAAAAGTATAAAAAAAAAATCTAATTTGCTTAGATGAAAAAGTGAGGACGATGCACTTACTAACCATTTCAGGGTTCACGTTTTTGAAATTCTGAAATTGAACGTGAAAAACTAATTTTATCAGAATCACATTTATCTCCTGCTAGGTAGTATGCACTGATTCATACTTTCAACTGCCGCTATTTCCCAATAAACATTTTGGTTACAAGTAAATTCCTGATAGTGACACAGAAAGTACTCTTTGCTTCTTATGAAGTATACTCTTACCCATTTCTCCCCAACATACTGAGATGAGCATATGTTATCCAAAGAATGTAAGAGAAGGATATTGTTTAAGAAACAACTTACTTTTGTAATAGGTCCTAGCTTTGGACCACAAAGAACTTCTTCCCAAAGCTGTGATTAATCCTCTAAGTAAAAAAAAATCAATAGCTATGTTTTTTGAAAGCATGAAGTCTACTGCAGAAGATGAGACCCCAAGGTTCTTTCTCTCAAAACAGGCATTTATTAGCTTGTTAAAAAGGCAGCTGTACTGAGAAACATCTACGGTATCTGAAATGAAATGAAGAATATTAACTACTGAATTAAATCAAATGCAAATCTAATTGAAGAACTGCTTCTCAATCAGTACCTAAACAGGAACTCTTGCTTCTATCAGCAAAACGGAACAAGGTTGAGATAACTTAGGATAATGCTTTATTCATCACAAGTCTTTTCATGCAGTTAGTTCATGCACGTTGTGAAAGAGAAGTGTTATGGTCCAAGTAACAATTTGCTGCCAAAACCAACAGGATCAGATAAAAATATATTCACTTGCCTAAGCCTATAAATACAATCTTCACCTGATCTCTCTGACTTAAAATTTGGACCAATAAAAACCACCTTGATGCGTCAAGTTCTACTTCTACTCTCACTCTGACCTGTCCACCTCCTCTCAACTGTCCCCTTCTCGGCAGGACTCAGCAGCCTTTTATCCACCTCATGCCTCAAAGGACCAGATCCTTTAGGATTCTCTGAGGTGGTGTCTTCCAACTAAGCTCTCCTAACATAACTAAAAGCACACACTTGGCAATAAGACCGAGACCTACATGCAGGAATCAGCTGTTTCCTCAGTGGAGCCTAAGTAACTATGCATCTCATCTTGAAGTACATATCTAAAATTTGTCAGGTAAATTGAGCCCAAAAGAGCACTTGCTTCTTAACATAGTATGTAAAAGAAGCCTAGGTGAGCTAGCTCAGTTATGGAAAAAAAACAATGCATTCATCTGAAACTAAGACAAAAATGAATTGCCCCAACAATATCCTCTTTTACCTTACTATATAGACTGTGTATGATCCTTAAAAATTTAGTGGGTCTTTCTTGTTGCCCTGTGTAGCAGAGCCAACTTGAAAAAGAGGACAGATGTATAAACTCTGTGTGTGTGTGTACGCATCATGCGTGTGTGCAGCAAGAGCTATAGAGTACGATACATATTTTAACTGACACTATTTGAAAAAAGAAACGGGCTTGTCTAAAAGCATCATACTCCTTCAATAAACTTTAGCTGGAAAACAAACGTAAAGAACAGTGCACAATCATCTGTTGAATTTTTAGCTCTTAACACAGTACCTTTTTCTTTACTTACCAGAATGATTTTGAAAACCTGGTAAGTTCTGCAGAACTTCAAATGCCTGCCTGTACAAACTCCTGCTCAAGTATTTGCGTGCTAGTGTACATAACAGGTTATGTCGACTGAGGATGTCCACTTTATTGCAGGGCCACAGTGGTGCATTTGTGGTCCACTCTGACTCTGCGGCAAACCAACAGTGCAGTGTTAAATTCTATGAACTGAAACTGCTGGACACTGAGACTTTTGGCCATTAAGAATTTACTGTAAACTGTGACAGAAAACAAATTTCAGAATTTCACAGAAAACGAAGTTCTAGTTATTAATAATTTGTTCCTTATCACCAGTACTTCTCAGATGAGAGTCTCAGAACCTTTATACTGTAAATAACCCCTTTTCTGAAGTATCACGGTAGTAAAATAAACTACCAGTGGCATGTGTATGTGTGTAAATAAATATGTATATATCTATGCATACATATAAAATTGAATGGCTGATTTTAGATCCTCAAGATGACTTTATAGAACACCTTCTATTCTTATTTATACTTGAGTTTCTTCTCCTTTCAGCAAAATTCCAAAAAGCCAGTAATTATGCATTATGTAATTGCAGAAATATGGTACTATTCTAAAGCTATTTTCCTAAATGTGGATACTGCGAGGGGTAAAGCAGCACTGCATTGGTGCAAGCCTGAAAACTTTTGACACTGAATGTCACCTGGCTCAAAGGAAATCTACATGGGGCAGGGTCACTCTCCAAGCTGCACCCCTCCCTTATTACGGTAGGCTTTTGAGTAGAAATGGTGTTGATGACAGACTACTGTGAAAATTCTTCTAAAAACAAAATTTGGTATTAGTTGTAATATTTCTTATACATATCAAGAATAATGCTAACTAGTAAGATAGAGCACATTTTATTTTTGTTGTCCTAGTATTATTAACTTTATTTAATAACATAGACCAGCTTGTAAATTTTATCTGAAATCTATCATAGAAAGGGACTGTTCAAATTTAAGCCAAAATGTAGTTTTTTATGAGACAAGCTTACCTCTCAATACCCATGTTGCTCCATCCAAACTTCCAGTTTTAAGAAAAATTTCTGCAGCTTTATTAACAATTTGACATCTTGATGCTAACCTCTCTGCACCTGTAAGTCCTTTCAAGACTGTAAAATGTATCTGTAGCTCATGCAATTTATCCAAAACCTTCCTTCCCTGGCATAAGAGGGAGAAGGGAAAGGGGGAAGGTCAGAGAAAGCAATGATATCAGTGAACACAGAGTGTATTTACCCAAAATACAGCAGATTTAATTCAGTGATACAGATTTATAGGTATCAGTTTAGTCATCCAAGCTGAGTTAGGACAGAAAAAAAAAAGTATAGTAAAATTTCTAATGAATAGTAAAGGTTTTTTTTGACTGTGTGGGGACTCTCCCCCCCCCCAATCTATTGTTGAACAGTTCCCAGCACACTATTCCCCATAACATTGTTTAACTATATAATGCTCCTATACATTATTTTAAATATACTTGGTAATTAATTTGTATTTCCTTACTTTAGTATATTATTTTACTCTTTTGATTCCATTCAGGACTACACAACCTATAAAATGTGAAAAAGATCATACAGAAGCATAATTGTTAAACTGAAACAATTACTCCAGCATAAGCCAAAGAAAACACTGATAGCTGTACGCAGCAGGATAATAAGCTGGAAAAAGCTGGGCCTATCTGGCCAACAGTATAACAACCAACAACTTTATCATCATATTCCAGGTTGGTATTTATACTGGTTTTCTACAGAAGCTTCCTAACTTTCTGGTTGGCTTTTTCAGTCAAAGATGGAAGAAAGGTAGCAGTCTCAAAGATAATTAAGATCTGACCAATCTTAAAAAGATGATGATTGAGTCAAGGTGGGATATCAAATTAATGTCCCCAGCAAGACAAGGACAGGCAGGATTCAGCACTCGTCCTGTCTGGCAGCAACTTGCTGGTCAAACAACACGAACGAGCCTCTAAACTAGACATGCTTCAGCTCTTGCTTAGTGGGTGCGTCAAAGAGGAGATGGCTTATTAAAAATTGTGGTCGTGTGTGCATGCATTGTGGTGGCAGAACAAGGGTTGTGGAGGCAGAGTGAAAGGGAAGCTTAAGAGAAAGACGTTAACAGAAAATGAAACTTATTAAGAATCTCATTTTTAGAAAATGCTTTATGCATATGCATATATTAACTGTCATATGCTCAAAATTGGAGACTTTTGAAGGCCTATAGGTGTCTGCAATAGTTTATCTCAGTGTAACCCATAAAAGAATACTAACTACATCATTGCAGTTAACATTTCAGGTGTAAAGAACCTATTCCATTGTAGATGTATGTGGCTGAAGGGAAAAAAAAACATATCAGGAAAACTCAGATAAAACTTTGACAGCAAAACAGAAACTTTAAATCTAAGTGTAAACCACAGACAAAATATAAAATTAAGAAGGACCTGCATCTATTTCATCCTCTATCAAAGGAAGGGCCACTAAGAAGTGGGTATTTATAGAAAGATGGAAAGTATGCAGCTATAAGCATAAATGATCTATAAAGGAAGGGCACTCAATTAAATTGAAGTTGTGGAATGAGACATATAATTGGACAAGAGTCTCTGACCAATCCTCTGAAGTAATAAAAAGTTGGGTAAAAATAAACTATAGCAAAGTCCTTCAAGATAGGACACAGCTGAAGTAGGAAGTGGATTAAATAGTTGCCAAAGGAGCATTAATGTTGCAGGATTCTCCCCAAGTAAATGTCCAGAAAGTAGTCTAGTGTTGCCTGAAGAGCTGTCTTCATGGAAGACCTATTCACATTTCAAATCCGCGTGTTTTTTTCAAAGTACTTTTAGTAGATCCTGTTATGCAAGAGAAACACTACACATGCTTCTGATACATTGCACCTCTGAAATTATGACATGAAAATGAACCTCCTTGGAATTTCAGAGGTCCTGCAACCCAAATATCAGGCAGTCCCTTAAGATGGATCTGGAAAACAGCTAAAACGTATGAAGGCATTTCCCGACAAACACTGAATATATGGTGTCTCTGCTGAAGACGACAGCCAAAATCCAAGACAGCCAAAACCCAAGCCAAACTAAGCTCTTTGATGGGCATGTGAGCACTGACCACTCCTCAATGCTAAAAAATTAGACTACCTGTTCTATGGCCAGGAATATCTTAACGGCCAGGAATATCTTAACTGTTGTAACTGCTAAGTGTTGTGGAACAAAAATGCTTAAAAACCTTCTACTGCAGTACTACA